ATGCATCAACAAATGGAAATAATGTTCTATTAGCACTGATTGGTGTGTTTCCTTTCCTCTAAATGTTTTAAGAATAACTCATTAGTTTGTGTGGCAGCAAGTCTCTACTTCTTGTAACATAGGTTTACTTTAAACTTCATAAGTTTATGTGTGGATATGCTTAAAGTTGCATTTAGAAAGTACTCTACCATCTTTTTCATAATTCTCTGTGCTAATAACTGATTATATTTTATGATACATTTTAGTCTGACCAAGTGATTTACTATTTTATAGGTTAAGGAGAGCTATTTGTGCTTGGCTAAAATTGCCTCAACTAGGACAACGTTCAAGCCAACAGTTGCTTGGATGAAGTATAAAAATGTAAGTAACTTCTAAAGCACACCTTAAATACAACCCTGGAGCTTTGTTCAAATTGGTACATTATATTTTCAAATTGATTTAATGTTTTAACATCTAATAAATAGAAATAGACCTTCTAACTCCAATTAGCCCTTTCAAATTTATTGCTCTTCTCTCTTCAAATCAGCTAGACTCAACTTCTGATACATGACTTTTAGCCTTTTATTGATACATAAAAATTTGTTAACATCTGAAGTGTTATCATTGCAGGGTGTTTGGTCTTTTACACAGGAAAAGTATCAATTGAAGGTATGAAACACTTGCTTTTGGAGAACTTAAACATGGCATGTTTCTCAGCTATAACTATTTTGTTCAGAATTATTACCAACCTGTGCCCTTTGTTTAAATGCTTGAGTTATAAATATGCACTATTTTACTGCTCATACTTCAGTTAACCTGGTGCTTATACTTTTTATCCTTCTGGTCATCGATGTGTAAATTTTGTTCTGAAAACTTTGCAAACAGTTTGTGCAAGATGCAGGTGGAGAGATTTTGGATGCCAACAAGAACACTTACAATATCTCTGATCCTGATGACTTGGAGGAATTTCACGCGATCCTATGTGTAAGTTGAATTATATTTCATTATAACAGAAAATTAAATGCAACATAGGAACATTGAGTAACTAATATTACCTTAATAGACATTGCTGTGTAAATCAAGTACTTCATAGAATTGAAAGAAAATCCTAGAATATAACCTGAGAAGAAGAGTTTTGTTTTTTCATTTCTTTAAATTTTTATTTATTTGTTAGGTTTTGCTGATTAAACATTATTTATTATGCAGACCGTGGAAGTAGTTATTGATGAAACACTAACCTCAGATCCAACCAACTACACTTTGTCAACATTTATCCAAAATCTAAACGTTGAAGATCGTTCTTGTTTTTCCTTTATTTCAAACACAAGTCTGTGGAGATATGACAAAAGGGTATACAACTCTGTAGCTGTAGGTAAGTAAGTCGATCCAAAATGCATTTATCATATGCATATTGTTGGTTGTGAATAAGAAGTTCTACAGTAGATAAAAATAACTGTATTATAAGCCATAAAGACTAGCAGATTTAAATGCTTATTGAGTTTACTTATATCATTGACTAATTTTGATAAAGTTCTCTGATGTATTTCATAAGTCTTCATAACTTTTAGTGATCTATATGACAAACTCACCCGTCTTTTCTAACTAAACTTAAATGGACTTTGAACATGTTTTAGCATAAATCTAGTGTACTTAACTTACTCTTCTTATGATGTGATTGTGTGATAACTTTCAATATCATGTTTTTGCATTTATCATATGTTTGTGAAGACTGGTATAATGGAGCAGTGTCACAACCTCAATTGGCACTGGCAGATCTAGTTGAGGTTTTATTTCCAACTGGGAATTACACAACGACATATTTTAGGAACATTGCAAAGGTATATGCTGACACTGCCATTTAAGGTTAGAGAAACTGAAAGATGTTTTTTTGGTACTTTATAAGTTTGGTGTTATTTCATGGTGCAGGGAGAATTACCTATAAATATTGGTCCGGAAATGTGTGACAGGGACACATCTGTAGCTATGGATCCTACCATAGTAGCATGTGGATGATTATGTTTCAAGTTCAAAAATAGGTATAGTTATAAACAAAATAAACAGTCAACAACACTATTCCTATTTATTTTTTGAAATCCCATTTTTTTAATTTAGGATCTATCTATACTTTGTATTTTATTTTAGTTATTATTATGCAATCAACTAATGGTATCTATAGTTTGATACACAGATAATAATTTACCACAGTTGTCTCTTTTTGGTAACTTTGTCTCTTGCATGAACAAACATGTCATTTCCTTTGAATGAGAGAAAGGATTTTCCTTCCTTAATAAATAATACAACTCCTCTTAATCTTTCGAAACTCATTTTAATGACAGAAATGCGATTAAGTTCTAAAATGGATAATTTAATATATATTAATTTTTCTTACAGTGAAATTGTAAACACTTTTATAAAATGGGATAAAAATATTTAAAAAGTTTGATTTAATATATTGGAATAAATTATATGTATGATAGCGTTTGTTATAATCATAATGATGAGTAAGGTTGTTCTAGTGTAGTTTTATAAAACAATAAAATAAGTTATATAATTGATTTATTTATTTGTTAAATAGTTATTATTTTATTTTTTTTTCATATAAGTTTATCTTTTTTATTATTTCTAATAAGACTTATCATTCAAAAAGAATTTTAAGAAAATATATTTTTATTATATACATACATACATTATTTATATTCTGATCCAATTATAAGTCAAAAATTAGAAAAAGATAAAAATAAAATTAAAGATAAAAAAAGATAGTGCATATAGGTTTCACAATTCTTATAACAAAAAAACTATCATATCTTTTAAAAGAGATAAATCAGTCAGTTTACCTTAAATCATTACTTGAAGATAGATGTTATCTTAGTTTATCATGATTTATTTGAAAAAATAAACTTTTATATACTAGTTAAATGATGAGGGATTAAGTTATACTAATCCCGTAACATAAATATTAGAATAACTGATTTTTTTATTACATTAATTTAAAAAAAATCTCATTAAAAAAACATATTTTAAATCCAAGGATATTTTAATAATTTTAAAATTTAATCTAAAATAAAAAAGTAATTATTTATCATCCATAACTTCATAGTTGCTGTCATGTATATTAATTTTTTTTTAAAAGTAGTTATTTATCATCATGACTTTATAATTACACTTGTATTAATTGTTTTTTAAGAATAAAAGGATCATTAATGTCATCTACATGCAACATCTTGGTAATAGATTTCTTTTGGAACTTTTATTTATATTTTTAATAACATATAAAATAATATGCATTAATCACTTCTAAAATAATATGCATTAATCACTTCTAAAATCTCACATTTTAACAAGGTTTTATGTTAAATCACCTATATATGAAAAATTATAATAAAAATTCTTATTTATATTATGCATTCACATTCATTTCTGAAAATTATATATTTCTAAAATTTATGTATTTCTAAAAATATTATAATTAAAATTATTTTTAAAGTCATGATAAATAATTACTTTTTATTTTATTTTATTTTAAAAAATAATTAATATATACGTAGACTATATAAATAATTACCTTTTATTTATTTATTTTAAATTAAATTTTAAAATTATTAAAATATTTAAAGTATGTTTCTTTAGTGTGGATTTTTTTGTAACTTACAACTTAATACGCTAAAATATATGTTTTCCTCTTTTCTAATCTAAAATCAATGTCTTACATAAGGAAAAGACATCTTTAAGAAGATAACATATTTCAGAGAATGTTTCATCTTATGATCAGACTCCAAACTTCAATACCATATTCACAAAACCCAGAATTTTTTGTAATTTCTCTTTTCTTTACTATCAGTTTCTTTAAGTTTAATGTTTATAGGTCTTATTTTCTTAAATGACATTCAATTTTTCAATTTTTCAATTTTTCATTTTTATTTAGTATGAGAGTTTTAACTCATACTTTAGATTATTATCATAATACATAATGAATCGATTCAAGACTCATAAAATATATAAATCAAATTGAAATAATTATTTTTTACTTAATTTATATGCGTCAAATCGACTTACTTTGAAGAATTTATTTATATAAAAAAATAGTCTAATTATACTAATTTTAGTTTTTCTCATCAATTATTACATTATTGATATTTTTTTATGAGAGATAAATATATATATATTGCTATAAGAGTGAAATGATAAAAATGATAAAAATGATAAAAATGATAATTATTGTTATCTTTTGATGATAAAAATGATAAAATTATTATTGCTATAATTATTAAAATAAAAATCAGTATTTGATTTTTATAATTTTATTATAGAGTTTTTTTTTTGTAAGGAAGGTTTTTATTATAGGTAGTTAATTTTAGTTTTAAAAATGATTAAGTTTTAAGAAAATCGTTGAATAAAAAAATAATTAAATTTAAAAAAAAACTATCATGCAAAGGATAACATTGGAAAAGTAATTATTTTAATTTAAAAAACAATGATGAAAAAAAGAAAGTGTAACAAAAAATAAATCTATAAGATATCAAACAGTTCTGGATCATATAAGTTTTGTATAAATAATTTGTGTAATAATAAAATTTTTTCTAACTATAAGTTTTAAAAAAGGTATGACCTAATTCAGATGGATTAATGATATATAATGAATAAATGTAATGATTGTATTCCTCTATAATGAATCAAACTATATCAGTCTAATTTATATAGTAACTATTACAGAATTTAGTAACTTATTCTCAATTCTTCTTCATTTAATTAAAAACTCATTTTGTTTAGATCATGTTTAAAAAGCTTAGGTTAACTCAAAATCATTTAATAATTTATTTTTAAATATTAAATTGTCGTAATTTAAATATATTGAAATATAAATAAATATGAATTTGATTACTATTTTATTGTTTAATATTTTTAAATTTCCACATAAACTATCATCGAAATAAATAGCTGCAAATTCAAAGATTAGATGGATGAAAATCACATCACATAAATGTTAATGGTGTAATAACTGTAGTAATTTACTGTGACCAAGATACGAAAATAGTCCTGCAAAGTGTAAAATTTTGCTTTGGAATGACTTTATTGGATTAAATCGAAATGGTAGGGATGAGAATTCTTCAATTTCTCTATTTTCATACAGAAATTTCCTCACAATTTTTATCAGTAACAGGAAAATAGCTGTCAATTCGTAGCAGTACAGAATTTGATTAATTTGAAGTAAATTGTATAGAGAGAGATCACAAGATTGGCTTGCGTACTGATCTGTGATTGAGGCTTTAGATTAGTGATCTCTTAATCAACTGAAAAGAAGCAAGAGTTTGCGTGCAAACCAGAGTGTTAACGCTTGCTGTGGCAAGGAAAAAAAGAGAAAATGTTAGAGGAAGTTCGACATTTTATTAACTTCAATTTTGTTTCTAAAATGATTCTTTGTTGATCGTGCGGCATACCTTGTGCTTTGTTTTCTGACACTTTTCTTCTTAGTCACTGGTTGCTGAGGTTCATAACTTGGAACAGGTATAATCTTCACATGGAACATTGACATATCAAAAGTGGTAATTAGTCATTTTGCATTGCATGATAATGGCTGTTCTGTGTATGCTTCCTTACCAAATTCTTGAACATGAGATTGTACAACATCTTAATGTAACTTTGCTTTGCCACTTTTTGTTGATTATTCACCCGCCTCCAGAAGGTATACATGTTCCCCATATCCAATATCTTGNTTATCTTAGTTTATCATGATTTATTTGAAAAAATAAACTTTTATATACTAGTTAAATGATGAGGGATTAAGTTATACTAATCCCGTAACATAAATATTAGAATAACTGATTTTTTTATTACATTAATTTAAAAAAAATCTCATTAAAAAAACATATTTTAAATCCAAGGATATTTTAATAATTTTAAAATTTAATCTAAAATAAAAAAGTAATTATTTATCATCCATAACTTCATAGTTGCTGTCATGTATATTAATTTTTTTTTAAAAGTAGTTATTTATCATCATGACTTTATAATTACACTTGTATTAATTGTTTTTTAAGAATAAAAGGATCATTAATGTCATCTACATGCAACATCTTGGTAATAGATTTCTTTTGGAACTTTTATTTATATTTTTAATAACATATAAAATAATATGCATTAATCACTTCTAAAATAATATGCATTAATCACTTCTAAAATCTCACATTTTAACAAGGTTTTATGTTAAATCACCTATATATGAAAAATTATAATAAAAATTCTTATTTATATTATGCATTCACATTCATTTCTGAAAATTATATATTTCTAAAATTTATGTATTTCTAAAAATATTATAATTAAAATTATTTTTAAAGTCATGATAAATAATTACTTTTTATTTTATTTTATTTTAAAAAATAATTAATATATACGTAGACTATATAAATAATTACCTTTTATTTATTTATTTTAAATTAAATTTTAAAATTATTAAAATATTTAAAGTATGTTTCTTTAGTGTGGATTTTTTTGTAACTTACAACTTAATACGCTAAAATATATGTTTTCCTCTTTTCTAATCTAAAATCAATGTCTTACATAAGGAAAAGACATCTTTAAGAAGATAACATATTTCAGAGAATGTTTCATCTTATGATCAGACTCCAAACTTCAATACCATATTCACAAAACCCAGAATTTTTTGTAATTTCTCTTTTCTTTACTATCAGTTTCTTTAAGTTTAATGTTTATAGGTCTTATTTTCTTAAATGACATTCAATTTTTCAATTTTTCAATTTTTCATTTTTATTTAGTATGAGAGTTTTAACTCATACTTTAGATTATTATCATAATACATAATGAATCGATTCAAGACTCATAAAATATATAAATCAAATTGAAATAATTATTTTTTACTTAATTTATATGCGTCAAATCGACTTACTTTGAAGAATTTATTTATATAAAAAAATAGTCTAATTATACTAATTTTAGTTTTTCTCATCAATTATTACATTATTGATATTTTTTTATGAGAGATAAATATATATATATTGCTATAAGAGTGAAATGATAAAAATGATAAAAATGATAAAAATGATAATTATTGTTATCTTTTGATGATAAAAATGATAAAATTATTATTGCTATAATTATTAAAATAAAAATCAGTATTTGATTTTTATAATTTTATTATAGAGTTTTTTTTTTGTAAGGAAGGTTTTTATTATAGGTAGTTAATTTTAGTTTTAAAAATGATTAAGTTTTAAGAAAATCGTTGAATAAAAAAATAATTAAATTTAAAAAAAAACTATCATGCAAAGGATAACATTGGAAAAGTAATTATTTTAATTTAAAAAACAATGATGAAAAAAAGAAAGTGTAACAAAAAATAAATCTATAAGATATCAAACAGTTCTGGATCATATAAGTTTTGTATAAATAATTTGTGTAATAATAAAATTTTTTCTAACTATAAGTTTTAAAAAAGGTATGACCTAATTCAGATGGATTAATGATATATAATGAATAAATGTAATGATTGTATTCCTCTATAATGAATCAAACTATATCAGTCTAATTTATATAGTAACTATTACAGAATTTAGTAACTTATTCTCAATTCTTCTTCATTTAATTAAAAACTCATTTTGTTTAGATCATGTTTAAAAAGCTTAGGTTAACTCAAAATCATTTAATAATTTATTTTTAAATATTAAATTGTCGTAATTTAAATATATTGAAATATAAATAAATATGAATTTGATTACTATTTTATTGTTTAATATTTTTAAATTTCCACATAAACTATCATCGAAATAAATAGCTGCAAATTCAAAGATTAGATGGATGAAAATCACATCACATAAATGTTAATGGTGTAATAACTGTAGTAATTTACTGTGACCAAGATACGAAAATAGTCCTGCAAAGTGTAAAATTTTGCTTTGGAATGACTTTATTGGATTAAATCGAAATGGTAGGGATGAGAATTCTTCAATTTCTCTATTTTCATACAGAAATTTCCTCACAATTTTTATCAGTAACAGGAAAATAGCTGTCAATTCGTAGCAGTACAGAATTTGATTAATTTGAAGTAAATTGTATAGAGAGAGATCACAAGATTGGCTTGCGTACTGATCTGTGATTGAGGCTTTAGATTAGTGATCTCTTAATCAACTGAAAAGAAGCAAGAGTTTGCGTGCAAACCAGAGTGTTAACGCTTGCTGTGGCAAGGAAAAAAAGAGAAAATGTTAGAGGAAGTTCGACATTTTATTAACTTCAATTTTGTTTCTAAAATGATTCTTTGTTGATCGTGCGGCATACCTTGTGCTTTGTTTTCTGACACTTTTCTTCTTAGTCACTGGTTGCTGAGGTTCATAACTTGGAACAGGTATAATCTTCACATGGAACATTGACATATCAAAAGTGGTAATTAGTCATTTTGCATTGCATGATAATGGCTGTTCTGTGTATGCTTCCTTACCAAATTCTTGAACATGAGATTGTACAACATCTTAATGTAACTTTGCTTTGCCACTTTTTGTTGATTATTCACCCGCCTCCAGAAGGTATACATGTTCCCCATATCCAATATCTTGTTTGCATAGATCTTCCATGTGTAGCTACGAAACAAAGGCATAAGAAGGGAATAATAATGCTAAAAATGGATCGGTGAAATTGAAGTTTCATGTTTACCATTCATTTATGCGGTGCAATCCTGCTGCTGAAATTCCATTCCAGTGTGTTGAATCTTGTAAGCATTTTTCAAAGAAATCAGCAATTTTGTTGCTTGATTCTTCTCCATTGTGGGGATCAATGTGGAAGCCAGAGATTCCGTCAACAATGATTTCTGCCGGACCTCCTTGGTTGGTGGCAAAAGTAGGTAAACCAGAGTTCATTGCTTCAATGACAGTGAGACCAAATGCTTCATACAAAGCAGGCTGCACAAAAGCTCCCTTTGTATCAGCAATGAAGCGGTAGAGCTCTCCATTGCGGTATCTGTCAGTTTGTGCAGCAATCCATCTGAATTGACCCTTTAGTCGGTACTTTTCTACCAGATCATGCATCTTTCTTATCTCTGTCATTTCCTCCCTGTCTTTGGATTTCAAAGGGTCAAAGAAGCCTCCAACTATTACGAGGTTCACCATTTTTCTCAACCTTTGGTTCTTTCCATACCACTCAACTAACCCAGTTAAGTTCTTGACAACATCAAACCTTGCCATTGAAAAGATGATGGGTTTTCTCCTGTTTTCTAGATATCCACTGTTTCAATGATATATTCAGCAGATAAGGTTAACCATTTGGAAGAATATAGCAATTCTTATCTAAACAGTAACCACAAAACAGATGCAACTAAGTGGCTTACATATGTTCGTTGGTATCGACTTTACTGTACAACAGGTCTTCAATGACAGGATAAAATTGGGTGAATCTTCTGTCTTTTTCTGTGTAAGGAAAGTAGACAGACTGATCAGCTCCAGGTGCAGCTATGTTGAACTTAGGATCAAATACATTTATCCCTGAAACAACCCTACACAGCCCTGGCAGTGTAAATGCAGCATGGCTTTCATATTGTCCTGGTCTATCCTTGCTGCAAACAACTTTCAGAACTTAATATTGCAAACTTCAGTTGATTTATCGTCATTATTTATATTAACTTCCTAGTTTCTCTCAATTTTGGTATTAGTACCATCTTATAAATTACTTAAGTGAATTTCTTGAGTGTGACAATATTTCAATTTCCAAGTAATAGAGAAAGGATGCCAAAAGTAAATTCTTTTTTTTTTTTAATATGACATCTAACCTTCCAGCAATTTCCTGATAGGTGCTGGTTATGATGAAATCTGATGCATTCATTGCTATTATATCAGCCATGAATTGACATGAGAAGTGGTACTTAGGATCTAATTCTTTCCACTTGACATCTGAATCTTCATACTTAGTTTTCTCCAAAGCATGTGCAATAGTTCCCTGGTTTTCAGTGCAACCTAAGGAATTAATTTATCCAGCAGAAAGGACATCTTTACAGCCACAAAAGTTGCTGAATATGAAATTTTCAGTTAGAGGGTATTAACCTGAGTTATCTTAAGTCTGTTAGCCATGAGAGATGCTACCAAATTCCCATCAGTGTAATTTCCAATAATAAGATCTGGTTTTCCTTCCATGAGGCTGAGAATCTTGGCTGTGGCATCCTTTTAACATGGGCCATAGATTTGATGAGATAGAAAACTTACATATAAAAGCTACCAAGTAAAGATTCTTATATCATATGTACATACTTGAGTAAACCTCTCAAGATAAGGATAGATGTCAAAACGAGAAACCCATTGACGCAGGATTCCTTCATCTGTATGAAAAGGAACACGTAGAATATTGGAATACTTAGTTCCATTGATTAGTTCCAACTCCTGATTGCACTTGGTTCCTTGAGCATCGGGGATGAGTCTTGTGACCTGTCATGCTCAATAATATACTTGCATAATTCTCTCAAAGCAATACATAGAAAGGGGAAACTCTATTGCATTACAACTTACCACTAGAATCTGAGGCTTTATATTTAGGCCTTGTTGCTTAATTCTAAGTAACAACTCTGCTTCAAGAGCTCTAACTTGATCCAATATGTACACTACCTGCTCCAAAGTGCACCATGTTAAGGGTTGTAACTTGTAAAATCATTTCCATGATCTTCACTTAACTGAAGTTCAGAAGTGTTACCTGTCCACCAGTGTCTGGCAAGCCAAG